ACGCTGCTCTGCGCGATGGCACAGAGAGGAGCCCATCAGCTCTTGGGGCAACGAGCCGAGAGCTCAGGAGCCCAGCGCAGCCGCTTTGAGCCCCGCTCGGAGGCCTGGGCTGCCTCCGCGGCCGCGCCGAGCACAGACCGGCCCTTCCTGCAGCCCCTCCAGCACACGCCTCCCGGCCCTGCTGCATCTCTCTCCCTTGCAAAACGTCGGTCACAGTAATTCTCCATGAGCATAAATTATGCTTGCTGGCTGTGGAGTTGTTCTGTGTTTCTCCATTTTACATGGCTGTAAGGTTCAACCTACTGGTGACAAAACGCCATAAAATATTAATTTCTACTGCAGGCGTGGCGACACCCCCTCTGATGCCAAGTGGATGAATGGCGACGCCTTGGAGAACTCACCTTTAAAATACACTGGCAAGGAGTAATATTTTGTAAAAATCCTGTATTAAGGGAGGAACAGGAGGAGGAGATTACTTTGGGAGTGCAGTTGTTTTTATGATTAGATTTTAATTATTTTTTTTCCCCACATTTTGGTTTTCAGTTCGACGGATGCCAAGCAGGCTGTGGTCTGTTCTGTGCTGCTCTGTCCTCGTCATGCAGCCCACACCGTGTGAATCCAGTGGCTGCGAGTATCTATGAGCACGGTGTGTGTGACGTCGGTGGCGCTGCCGCTCGCCCCTCTCCGTGGAAGTGGGAATTTATGCAGCGCGGCAGCTCGCTTTGGCAGGATCCGCTTGCTTGTTGCTTTGCTCTGCATGGGGGAAGGGGCTCATTAAAGCACTATACATGTCTCTCTGTGTTGCTCCTAGGGAAAATAGGTCAGAGAAATAGGCCGTGCACCTGCAGTATTGGAAAGTGCTGAGATGGCAGCACACCCTAGTCCTGGGGTGACTATTCCCAAGCCTCAGCCCCTCGCAAGGTGCAGTCCCTGGGACGGAGGAGAAGGTCACAGTCATTGTCTTTGTGCTGGGAAGCCCTTAAGTTTAACAGCTGGGATACTTATATCCCCAAGCTTGTGTAGTCATGTTTTGGTGGGAGGTTTTCACCTGCCTAGGACAGCTCCGTGCCCTTCCCTATGTGTTTGTCTCCGCTCTGCCTCAGGAATAGGTCCTGCAGTGCATACCTGCCTGCCCAAGGTAGAGAGCCTGCTCCCTTCAATGAGGTCTCTTGCATGGACATGGGCATGGGCAGCTTGGCCTTAGTCAGAAATTTGCTGCACCCCATGTTTGCAAATCACAGCCTCATCCCAGCCTGCTTCAGTACCCCCAGCAATGATTTTCTTTGGAGACAGGAGGCATAATTCCCGTGAAGGGCACCATCTTCATCCCTGTGTTAAGCAGCAGCAGGATGGTTTGGGACGGAGAATCGCCCTTGCACGTGGCAAGCCCGCGTGGAGACGGCAAGTGGGCTGCAGCAGGACCCTCTCGGATCATTTTGCCCACCGCCCACTGCATCAGGCTGGTGTCTGAAGACGTCCATCCAGGCTGCGAAGGAAACCTGCCTGCCTTTTCCCTCCGGCCCTGCTCCTTGGCCGGGCTGGTGACCTGTTTTGGGGTGTGTCTTCCATATCGCCTGTCCTCATACACTCAGTTCCCATTCACCTGGTCACAAAGGCTGCATGTTACCTGCTGCATCCTTGCCGTGCAACCTGGGCTGCTGCCCGCACCAAGCTGGAGGCAGTTCTTCCTCTCCTGCCCCTACCCATTGGCAGAGCAGTGCATCCCCGCGCTGTGTTTTTCTCCTTCCACTTCTGTTAGCCACTTCACGAAGAGGAGCCTGATGTTTTATGTGACACCCACAGAACAGATCTAGCTCTAGACTCCCTGTATTTCAGCAATGTGATGAAATCCTGCTGGATTTTGAGACCTTGCCTGTGCTAGCAAGCTCTGTATCATACACATACAGCAGTGAATTTGCACCAACTTTTCCCTATTCTATACAGATCAGCACGAATATCAGAGGGTGCTTCAATTTGTGTGGCTTTAAGCAAGGGCTTTGAGCGCCCGTTGTGGTTATGCTGCTGTAAATAACCTTTATCTAAACAGCCCTCCAAAATGGTCAAAACACCCACACACGGCCGGGCCGCAGCGCTCGCCTGCGCAGGCAGGGCTATCATCGTCCAACGGGCAGCTCTTCTAGCGAGGAAGGAGGCTGTGCGGTGATCCGCCTGTATTCCTGAAGGTATTATTTCCATGAAGCACTCCTATTTTTAGGAATGGGAGCTGCACGTAACCAAAATCTGCAGATCTTGGCCCTCCCGGGTAAGCTGCTGCCATGAATAGCAGCATTATGCTCCGGGGGGTCACTCGTGTGAGGAGAGCTGCTCACGTAACTTGGCTCCATGAAAGACCGGCTCTCAGCCCAGCGCACACACGGAGGGAACAGAGTGGGGTGGAAAGAGTCTAAAAATCTCTTTTCCTGCCCTGAATTCAAAATAACATTTCTCTTACTGGAAAAACAAACATAAGCTCATTTTGGGTGTCTCTTGCTGTGTGCCCGTGGGATTGGCAACCTGCACCTTCTCCTGCAGATGCAGAGACCTTCCTGCCCCTCTTTACACTCCAGAAGTTATATCTGAATTACAGAAAGTTGATCCCCTGCAACACCAATTTCCCCTTGGAGGGGAAATTCCTCACTCTGAAATCCTGGTGGAGACACATTGCGGGTCTTCCTAAAATATTTCAGCTCTTGTTCCCTCGGCCGGTCCAAACCCCGACAGCGGCGGGGCTTGGCCTCGGCTGCCCCTCCGGGAGCGAAGGGCAGTGGGGCCCTGTCAAAGCGCTGACACAGGGGCAGCCCTTTCCAATGAGCTGTCCTGATGCCAGAACCAGGCCGTGCCACGGCCGGGAGCCTGCTCCCGCTTGGCAGAGGGAGCCGTGCCGCCGGAGGGCGGGAAGCGCCGACCGCGGCCTTGAAGGGCAGCCTTCGTCCCGAGCGCTGCCGAGAGCCACGCAGAGCCGTGGAGACCCCTCGCGCACCCATGGGTGGCTCGTGCCTGGCAGGGAGGGCTGACATGGATGACCAGGGTGGTGCAAAGCAGGGCAGGATCGGGATGGAGCTGAGGGAGGAGAGAAGGGGACGCTGGGCAACACGGTGGGGATACTGGCGGCCTTTACGCCTTCGGACCTAGGGACACCGTTAGTGTCCTGCACCTCGGCCCTCGTGTGCAGGGCAGGAGCAAGAAACGCCGGGGAGCGAAACAGGCTGCAGGGATGGGCGCTGGGGGGACGTCTCTCCCGCTTGCCCCTGCACTCAGGCAGCTCTCGCCAGGGCCAGGCCCGGTGCAGGGCTGTGCCACGGGGAGCAGCGGCAAGACGCTGCCGCGCACCGCAGCCGGCAGTGGAAAATGGATCGTGTATCTTTAACCCGCAGAGGCCGAGACGTGTGTGTGTTTTTTTTTTCATCGCTAACAATGGAAACTTTTTTTTTTTTTTGCAGTGTTTCCCTCCAGCGGCCCTGCCAAGCGGCACCAGAGCGCGAGCGAGCGAACAGAAAAAAAAAAAAAAGAAACTTGTTCCGCTGAGTTCAACCCCAGACAGGCTCACAACTTCCTTCCTGCTTTCCTACCCCCTCCCTCCGCTCTCCTCCTTCGCTCTGCTCTTCTCCCGCCGCCACTCCTGCTCCGCACGCCTCCAGCCGCAGGCGACGTGGCCGCAGCGCCCGCGCGGCACCCGCGGGGACAGAGAGCGGGAGCAGGAGCGCGGTGCCCCCCGCAGCCCCTCCCCGCCGAGGGCCAGAGCGGAGCTGCTTAAATACGGGCGCGGAGCGGGGCTGCCGGCGGGGGCCGCGCGCCCGGGGACATGGTGGCTGCAGCCCGCGGCGGGCGCCGGCGCCGCCGGGCGCCGTGGGGCAGCGCGCACTGAGCGCCCAGCCCGCGCGCAGGTAAGCGGAGGTGGTGGCGGGGCCCGCCGGCCGCCCCAGCCCCGGCCACGCTGCCCGTGCCGCGGCTCCGCTTGGAGCTGCCCGGCCCTCGGTGATGGGCAGCGCGTGGCTCGCGTGCGCGGTGGGGTGGATGGGGGGTCTGCAGCCCCGCGGGGACACGCGCGGGGTGGAGGGGCCTTGCGGCAGGGCTGTGGGGCGGCCGCACGGGCTCCCTGAGTGTGCTCACGGATGCCGAGCCCGCGCGCGGACCCGCGCGCTCCCGTCACAGCGGCTCGCAGAGCGCAGCACGGGGATGAGAGGAAGGACGGGGCTCCAGCAGCGGGCAGCACGGCGGGGCACCAAGCGGGGCAAGCCGGGGCGGGGGGCTTGCCGAGAGCCCCTGCAAGAGCAGGGCCCGCCTGCACGCTGCCCACGGCAGAGCAAGCGCCCAGCACGGTGTGCAGGGCAGCAGTGCGGGTGCCTGGGGCTGCAGGCAGCGCCGGGCGCGCGGGGCAGGGACCTGGCTGCTGGACAGCCCGGGCTGCTGCGGATGCGGAGGGGGAAAGCAGGGGAAACGGTGTGAGCAGGGAGCCCTTGTGCATCCGCGCGGAGAAATCCCTGCTCCAGACCAGACCTTGGCCGGTCGGAGGTGACGAGCCGGAAGCTGGCAAATCTGAGCTGTTTGGAGCTTTTTTCCTTCCTCCAGAAAAGAAAAAAAAAGTAAAAAAAAAAAAAAAAGAAAAGTTGGCGTTGGAGCCAGAACCTGAGAGCTTCCAACTTGTGGCCGGCATCGAGCGGCCAAAGCTGTGGGGAAGAAACCAGGGGAAGAGCTGCCGCGGGCTCATGGCCCCCACAGACGCATGGAAAGGGGGCAGGTGGGGGCACCTCTGCGCCAGGTCCCGCTGGCCTGGGTGGCTGGGGGTGGTGGCCCTTGGCCACGCAGCCGTGGGCAGGGGGACGCAGGGCCGCTCTCACCGCTGCTCTTTCTCCCCACAGCCGCCCCGGTGTATGGAGCCGTCGCGGAGCCGCCCGGCGATGCTGCAGGTGCCGTCGCGGAGCGAGCCCCGGCGGCCCCGCGGAGCCTGAGCGCCGAGGCGGCGGCAGCGGCGGCCCCCCTGCGCGCCCCGGCCGCCTACTATGGCCGTGTACTGCTATGCGCTCAACAGCTTGGTGATGATGAGCGGCAGCAGCGAGGCGACGAGCGGCGGGAGCAAGACGCCGCCTCCCGCGGCGCCCGGCGGCCGCCTGCCGCTGCCCGCGCTCGCCGCGCCGCCCCGCTCGCCCCGCTCGCCCCGCCGCGGCGCCGCCTTCCTCTTCCCGCCGCCCGAGGAGGGGCCGCCGCGCCGCCTGCAGCGCGAGCTGCACCACGTGCAGGTGAACCAGAAAGTGGGGCTCTTCGAGGCGCACATCCAGGCCCACGGCTCCGCCACGCCGCCTCCCTCGCCGCGGCCACGGCCCACCAGCCCCACGGCGCCTGCCAGCCCCACGGATTCTGCCAGCCCTTCGGCGCCCACCAGCCCCACAGCACCCACCAGCCCCATGGCACCCACCAGCACCACGGCGCCCGCCAGCCCCACAGCACCCGCCACCATGGTGCTCGGCCCCGGCCCACGGCCACGAGCCTATGGGCAGAGTGAGGCCATCAGTGATGGCAACGGGCAGAGCGAGGCCACCAGTGATGGCAGCAGGGGCCCTCCTGGCGGCTCAGAGGAGATGCAGAGCGCGAGACGGGCACCGCGCGGCAGCCCCCTGCGGTCCCCGGGACCCGGCCCACGGTGCGACGAGGCGGTGGTGGCCCCCGCGGGACCGGAGGGCCGGAGTGCGGCGGGCGGCGGGAACATCCCCGCCGTCATCGTTACGGACCTGGGGGGCCCGGAGGAGGAGGCGGGCGCCGTGCCCCCCAGCAGCGTGCCCGTCCGCAAGCTCTCCTCATCCTCAGCCTCTTCCACCGGCTTCTCCTCGTCCTGGGAGGAGTCCGAGGAGGACATCTCCAGCGACCCCGAGCGCACGCTGGACCAGGCACCCGCCTTCCTGCAGACCCTGGACCAGCAGAAGCCCCGAGTGGTGAGTTCCGCGTGCCGCTGGGTTTGGGACTGGCCGCATGCACCATGGCGGGCGGGCAAGGCCGGGCTCCAGCTTTCCGGCACGTACCGCGTGCTCACAGGTGCCTCCCATGGCAAGGAGCTCCGGCTCCTCCCGGCGCCGGGAGCTTTCCCAGGAGAAAGCTGGAATATATAGGAAGGATATATAGGAAGGAATATATATCCCAGGAATATACTCCCTCTTCAGAACTGAAACTGTGGGCTAACTACCTGTGAAGATTTATCCCCATGCCCGTCCCTGTGTGCGTTCCACAGAGAGTCAGGAGTCTCTGCCACTTCTGTTACCTCCTGGGAAAAGCTTTTTGCTTGTGAGGCATCCTACGTGCTAAGCAAGTGTGTTTTGCACAAGGTGTTTATATTAAGCTCCCTTGTTTCTGGATCTCTGTTTTGGGGCTGCTTGGGAGGCAAGGGCGAGCATGAGTGCCGGGTCCGTCCTGGCGTGGGAAGGTCCCTGCGGGAGGGAGAGCTTTGCGATGCACTCCGGGGCCGCGCACGTGCCAGGGATTCGCCAGCGGCTCTGCTCTCCACAGCATGTGCTGTGTTCGGAGCTGTCACTCCACTTATCCACAGTGCTTCGGCTGCCCGAAGCCAGGGCCACGCGACCGTCACAAGCTCCTCGGAGCAGCACGCAGCCTTCCCGGCCTCCCCAGCCTGTGGGTTAAACCCATGCGAATCTGGCGCTGGAGCCTCACGCAGACAAACCCTGAACGCTCTAGAGTCACCCGGTGTCTCCTCGGTGCTGGTGTCTGCCAGTGGCCTGTTGGTTCTCAGTGATGCCATTCATCACATCTAACTTTCCGTAGACACATGATAGTGAAACTCTTGTTAGACTCAATGACATGAAGAAGAGCGGTGCGGCAAACATATAAGTAGAGCGAGGGAATCAAAGTCATGATGAAGAACTGCCATGGTGTGGTTTGTAAAGCACTCGCTAGCCTGGGGTAAACATCCTTGCTTGTCTCCTCGTTTCTGCCTATTCCAAGAAGTCGGGCTCAGTTCTCCTTAGGGCGGAGAAGTAGATGAGTAAAAACACAGTTTGTGAAATTATGAACTACAATTTAGTAATCTTACTATTTTAGTAATCTCTGATCACCTATTTACCGTACCAACAACTGTGATGGACCCTGCTGATTTTCTGTTGAAAAACAATTCACTGATGGGCAAACTCATCTCTGCGACTATGGTGGAAACCTTCCTGGCGCCTTGGGCGGGCTCTCAGCAACCCCCATGGCCTTCAGCGCACGGGATGTGTCCCATGGCTTGGTCATGAGTTAGTCTTGTTCTACCAGCGCGAGATCAGAGCAAGTCTGAGATCAGAGTAACTCTGCTGGGTTCAGAGTCTCCCCCAGGCTGAATGAGATCAAGATCTGCTCCAAAACGGGTCTGTGGAGCCTGAGGAGGTTCATGTGATTTTTCCTTTTCAGTGTTGGAGTAGTCTCGGCTGGACTAATTTACGGTGCTGCTTTCCGCTGCGCTCCAAACGTCCCGTGGCCGGGTTGATTGCTGGCTCTGGCAGGGTACAGTCAACTCGGCAGCAGGATTGTGCGCAAATGCCCAGTAGCTCCAAGCTGGTTCACGTAAACAACACCCAAATAACTTTGTATGCGGGTTGGCAAGTTGCTCCGAAGCGCCGAGGGCGGCAGGAGGCGGCGGTCTCGGGTTGCAGGCTCCTCACCCTTGGTGCCCTCGCTCACTCCTTGCAGCCGCAATGAGGGAAGGAGCGGCGTGAGGGCAGAGTGTGCGGGAGGTGCCGGGCCGCCCGCGCTCCCGCCTCGGGGAGAGGACAGCGGCTCCTGACGGTGCATCCCGACGCGCGTGTTTGCAGCGCGGCGGCTTCTGCCTTTCCTTCCCAGAGGCCGCCCAGCACGGCGGGTCTGGCAGGGACCTCCGGCCGTCGCTCGCGGTTCCTCTCGGTGCTCCCGGCACCTCCGCGCGGGCCCTGCCGCCTTGGCAGGCCAGGCAGGGAGTCGACACCATGCTCGGGCCCCCATGTTGGGCGGTGATCTCGAGAAAACGCTGTTGCGAAAGGAAGGGAGGCGGCCCGGCCTCCTCCTCCTCCGACACGACACCGCGCCGCGGAGCCACCCGGGGCTGCGCCGCTGGCACCGGCCCCAGCCTTGTTTACCGAAAGCGTTTGGGGGTGCATGGTGGCGCGGGGGAGCGGGGGCTCCACGCCGGCCGCAAGCGGCCTGCGAGGCTGGCGGCCGCAGGGCCGGCGTGTCGGCGTGGCCGCGAGGCCGCTCAGGGCCTGCGCGCCGCCCGGCGCCGCTGCGGCCTCCCCGGCCCTGGGCTGCCGCTGCCCACGGACACGCGCCAGGTTTCGGAGGCGCTCGAGCGACGACGTTTGTCGGGCTGTGTGGGAGGACCCGGCCCAGCGTTGGGACAGGGCCACGGCCACGGCCGCCTTTCCCAGGGCAGACGCGCTGGAGCGAGGGGCGCGCGGCAGCCGCCTGTGCCCCGGGGATGGAGGTGCTAGAGGGCAGCGCGTTGAGGCGACTGCTGGGCTAGACCCCCCGGCCTCGCCGGTGCCTCTGCGACGAGGCGAGAGGGGCGAAGGGAATGCAGGAATTCACTGCCGCAGGAAAACGAGCGCTGGGAGAAGGGCTCGTCGCTGCTTTCCCGCAGCCCCTGTGGATGCACAAGGACACGCAGCGGGGCAGCCGCTCCCTGGGGAGCTCCCAGAGCCGCTTCCCGGGATGGGGAGGCTGCCACCAACGTGCCCAGGGGCAGGAGCTTCTGGCAGGGGCAAAGCAGGGAAGGCTGCTGGCCGCCGGCAGGGCTCCTAGTGCACATGCGGGGCTGTAAGGAGCCAGGCTTAGCTAGCGATGCCTGCAGGCCGTGAGCGTGTGTGCGCCTCTGTGCTCCTCTCTCTGGCTGTGCTTTACTCCTCCTTCCCACCTTGCCACCCCGTGAGCCCACAGCACACGGGCGGTGTCACCCGGCTGGTACCGGCGCGGCACGGAGGGGCCCTGCCTGCCTGCACGGAGGCACCGCACGATTCTGGTGACGCGGAGCCCGAGGCTGCAGGCAAGGCCCACGCGGCCGGGACCAGATCTGCCTCATCTGTCTCTTCATAGACCTGCTGCGTTTTGCATCTTCTCTTTTTACAACAATTTCACACAGAAAACATTACCTAAAGATAAAAAGTGGGGACATTAGAGCCCAAAGCATCCCTGCGGTGCCAGAAGAGAGCCCAGAGGACACTTCGGGCTCGTTGTTCATGGGGCAACAAGGATTGCTCCCTGCCCCGAGTCGGGACCCGCAGGCGTTCAGGAGCTTGGCTGGTTGGACCCTCAGGCTGCTCGGCAGGATGTCCACAGAAATAAGATCCCAGATCAGTGGAAACTTTGCAGTTCCGTCTACACCTTTTTTCAGGCCTTGAAATGAAGGGAAAAAAAAAAAAAAAAACACAAGCAAAAATCAAATCATAGTCAGCACCTGCCTCATGTTTTCCATATTATTTCTGTCATGTGTTAGGACAGATTTGCGTGTGAAGAAAACATTAGCGCAGCACTGAGCAGTGACTGCAAGCCAGCGCTGGGGCAATGTTTTCGTTGCACGTAAATCTGTTGCAAGTCACTGGGGAAATAATGGCACCTACGTGTGATGTTACAGCTCGCTCCGGGTCGGAGGGGCTGCTAGGGGTTGTTTGTCTTTATGCCGGTCAATAAATTGATGCCGTAATTTTTACCTGCTTTTATGCAATGAAGCCCAGCCAAACTTTCTAGGAAAGGGATGTTAATGTTTAACAAATAGAAAAAAAAAAAAAAAAAAAAGTTGACATTTTCAAAAACTGCCTGTAACTTAGCAGCCTAATCCCTGCTTCCCAAATTGACCTTTAGGGGAATGAGTCCCCTCCTGTGGCACCTCCTGGTCTCTGCTGATGGTGATGGGGCCTTGAGGACTAGCCTGGGCTGTGCTGAACACAGAGGAAGCTCTTCCTAAGTTACCCCCAACTGTTTTCTCTAAGATTTATCAAAATTCCGTTCCTGCTCCTACACACATGGAGCCAGGTCATGCTCAGCACTGGGGCTCTGAGTAGTTTGGGAAGCTGCTTCAGTCTGGTGCTTTCTGCCCTGCGGTTCCTCCTGGATGGGCAATATTAATGTCTAGATAGTCCATGTTGTTCTCAATGTTGTCATGCTTTTCAGCTATGAAAGGAAAGAATTGTTTTTTTTTTTTTTTTTAAATACTAAAGAACATTCTTTTCGCTAAAGACATGGAAAAGCAGACAGTCTAATAAGAGGAATTCAATTCTTCCTTTCAGATCTAAAAGTTATTGCTAGCCAAAAAAACATGGATTGCTTTTGGAAGGAGAACTAGCAGGTAAAACAAGAAGGGCTTCTTAGCACTTCTAACTCCTTCATGTAAGTAGTACAGTGTATTATCTGATCAGCTACGACACAACAGGAACTGCATTAACATTTGGCACTGCTGCGGTTCTTAAGTAATAGTAAAGCATCCTTCATCCCCCAGAAAGACATATATGGGCTCAGGAGGGACACGCTGCCATTTCAATGAGTTTGGTTCAAAATGCAGCATTAGGCTCTCTCTTTGCTCTTTGCTTCACGCACTTGGCTTGAGGAGATGTTGGTGCCTGCAGCTCCCATGCCGTGGAGCTCACCGCGTTTGTCCAGGTTTTGCCTGGGGTTTCATCCCCAGCTGCTGGAGTTTGCGCTTGGCTCTAAGTCCTGTACCTGGGGCTTTGGCAAGCTGGGCTGTGCGTGTGGCACAGAGGGTCTCATTTTCGCAGTTCCCTTCTACCTGGATGGCTCGGCCTCAGTCACCAGCAAAGCGTTAACGCTGGGAATGAGCAGCGCAGCGTCGCAGCGGGACAGTGAAACAGGGAGCAGGTCTGGCCCTGGCCCCTGCACGGGGGCTTGCAGGGGGCCAGGACGTGGTGGTGGGGCCGATGGGGTGGCAGCAGCACCTGCCTTCAGCATCACCTCCTCCTCCTCCTCC